TTTGACATGCAGGCAGTTTGAACTATTGAAATAATTCACTCACTCAAGTAATTTCCCTATTCTTATCCTCATGTATATCTTATCTTTTTCAGTTGATAAAACTGCTTAGTTACGACTGATAAATTTTCAAAGAGCAAACCTCTACAGGCGTTATCTTTAAAAGCAATCAGTTCCCCACCTGTGATTCCGTTGTCACTAAAATTGACGTTGCTTTCGAATACAACCTTTTCAAATACATGGTGCAGTACCAGCATGACATGGACTTACTGATATTGTTCTAAAAGTTTGTGTTGGCTCACCAATGCCATAGATGTTTCTGGTATGTTCAACCACTCCGTTTCAGCAACATACACAGTATTGGCCGTTCAAATACAGGGCACTATAAGCATGTTATCTTGGTCACGGAAAAAACAAAGTCCGAATCCGCCCAATTGGATTGTATTGCCATTCTGGAAGTCGATGAGAACTCGGAGGTCGAAAGCAAGTAAAATGAAAATAATAATAATTTATTTTCATATAAACATAAATTTACATGAAAATGCATGCCATTTTTACAAGCACGATCAAGTATGACATGTCAAATCGTAAATCGTCTACAAGTTAATAATGTTTCAACAGTTAAATATTTGAAATATATATACATATTAAAACAATTAGTCCCTTTCATAAATTTGAACAAGGCATTAAGAAGGCAAATTTCGCGAGATGATATCATTTCGTAGTTTCTTTACAACCGCTTTACAACTAACATGGTTAACAATGATAAAATAAAGTTCATGAGAATTACTCAGTTAAATAAAAACAAAAGTACATACTAATGACCAATCATATTAAGATAGGTCATGCAGTCCAGGGTAGGCGAAGATTGAAGTCTATTGATTTTTGTACACACAGTTTAGGCTGCATGTGATTAATCCAAAGTGCTTCCATCACCTTCAATAACCTTGAATTAGAGTTATGTGAAATAATTGTGAAACAGTCATTAATATTTATTTGTGACCAGACATTAATAAGTGTTTTGCAATGGATGATGCTGGATTTCTATTAAGATTAATCGCGTTGGGATTTTCGATATGGTTTACTAGCCATTTTGGAATATGTTCTTTTCGACGACATTGGAACATTCTGTTAGTTCTACCTATATAGGTGTCACCGCAGCTGCAGGTGAACTTGTAGATACAGTTTGAAGTAGAGTCCACAGATTTTCGTCCTTTAATCGTAGGAACAGGGATCGAAAATGTTCGGCAAGTGAGAAAAAGAGATGCGGCGTAGAATGTGCGTTTGATGGCTGATCGAAGTCTTTGAGTTGTCAACTGCATAATCTGGTCGCCCTTGAATGGTAGATTAATAAAGATGGCTTTCTTTGGTACAGAAGCTGTCTTTTCGAGATGTGGTTTTTCTTTGCTGTGACAAGTACAAAACTATTCCTATGAAAATTAACAAAATGGAAGTCCAGTCAGAGTATGAAAACCTGTATGACCAAATCTCTGACTTAACTCCTTCCAATAAAGATAATCTGGACTGGTTAAAAGTTAAACTGGTGGACATTTCTCATCAATTTCTAAATGCTAGAATACACCAGAAAAATGGTTTATCAAAAGAACACCACGCCGCACTTAAGGAATTAATCGAAAAAGATAATCTTGTGATCCTTAAACCTGATAAGGGAGAAGGCGTTGTCATTATGAACAAATCGGATTATCAAAATAAAATGAACGATATCCTCAAAGATCAGTCCAAATTTCTGCTGGACAATGCTACTGATAACGTGCTGCTTGTGGAAAAGCAGATCAATCGACAGCTTCAGATTTTACTGATGCATGGTTTTATAAATGAAAAACTTTGTAAACAACTTAAACCAATTGGGTCACATACTCCTCAGCTTTATGGTCTTCCAAAGATCCACAAAACTGGGAACCCACTGAGACCCATCTTAGACATGTCAAATTCTCCTTATCATAAAATCGCCAAATGGATTACAGAGGTCCTTACGCCTGTAAGAGACTCATTATCAAATCATTCTGTAAAAAGTTCATTTGGTCTTACAGAAATGCTGGACACCTTGAAGATTAAGGAAAAGGTTATGTGTTCAATTGACATAAAATCTTTATTCACCAATGTTCCCCTTCATGAAACTGTTGATTTCATTTGCGATTACATCACAAGCAATGGCATAAACTTACCCATTCCCGTCACTTACATCAAAGACATAATCTTAATGTGTACAGAAAATATTAGATTCACATTCCAAGAAAAGGCATATAAACAAATCGATGGTGTTGCGATGGGGAGCCCTCTGGGGCCCCTGTTAGCAGATATATGTCTGTCGAAATTAGAGAAAAAAATGCAAGGTATGCTTGGAGGATTTATGCTGTATAAACGTTATGTAGATGATACTCTTATTATTGGTAATAATAGTGAATCTATTGAAAACTTCATTACTCTATTTAATCATATTCATCCAAATATTCGAGTGACTTCCGAACTAGAATCGAATAACAAACTTGGTTTCCTGGATATTACTTTGACTAGGAGAAATAATGGAACGATTCAGCGCTCTATTTTTCGTAAACAAACATGGACTGGACAATATCATCATTTTACCAGTTTTGATCCTATCCAGTATAAACGTTCCCTAGTGAAATGTTTGTTCTCAAGAGCCCGAAAAATATGCACGAGTGACACACTGATGGATGAGCTTCGACATGTACATTCAGTTTTATTAGCTAATGGTTATCCTGAGAGCTTTTTCACTTGTCACAGCAAAGAAAAACCACATCTCGAAAAGACAGCTTCTGTACCAAAGAAAGCCATCTTTATTAATCTACCATTCAAGGGCGACCAGATTATGCAGTTGACAACTCAAAGACTTCGATCAGCCATCAAACGCACATTCTACGCCGCATCTCTTTTTCTCACTTGCCGAACATTTTCGATCCGTGTTCCTACGATTAAAGGACGAAAATCTGTGGACTCTACTTCAAACTGTATCTACAAGTTCACCTGCAGCTGCGGTGACACCTATATAGGTAGAACTAACAGAATGTTCCAATGTCGTCGAAAAGAACATATTCCAAAATGGCTAGTAAACCATATCGAAAATCCCAACGCGATTAATCTTAATAGAAATCCAGCATCATCCATTGCAAAACACTTATTAATGTCTGGTCACAAAATAAATATTAATGACTGTTTCACAATTATTTCACATAACTCTAATTCAAGGTTATTGAAGGTGATGGAAGCACTTTGGATTAATCACATGCAGCCTAAACTGTGTGTACAAAAATCAATAGACTTCAATCTTCGCCTACCCTGGACTGCATGACCTATCTTAATATGATTGGTCATTAGTATGTACTTTTGTTTTTATTTAACTGAGTAATTCTCATGGACTTTATTTTATCATTGTTAACCATGTTAGTTGTAAAGCGGTTGTAAAGAAACTACGAAATGATATCATCTCGCGAAATTTGCCTTCTTAATGCCTTGTTCAAATAATATATATATATATATATATATATATATATATATATATATATATATAAATACACTGATTGTCTGAACCAGGTCGTATAGTTATTGAATTGTACAGTTGTCCTCCAGGTTGCGCGGGAAAATCGACTTCGTTTTGTTTTCAAACCGTAGTTTAAAACGCGTGCTACTTGAATACGACGTGCTTTTTCCTCTCCAACCGGAAAATACCAATTCTGTGAATTATCCGTTTGGGAAACCTGATCTTCCTAGCCGGTGAATTTAATTCAACCATTACTTACATAGTAAATCTCTGTGTGGTAAGTCCAGCTGTCTCGAACTACTGCCAAAGCTTCAGGTGCTACTTTTGTAGCAGCATCTTCCTCACTCGTTCAGAGAAACAAGACTTGTTGGTCTACCACGTGATTGCCGTGAAGCCGATCATTCAGAAAGTACTAGGTAAAGTCGAAAACCTTTTCTTTTCCTTGCCTTACACTTTTTCAGTCTTATTCTTGCTCTTTTGGTTAGAAACTGTTGCTCTCTTAGACGTACATAGCATAATTTATAGTGATTGTTAATATGGTTGTTGAAAGCAGCCTTAAAAAAGCCACTAGAATACCGTACTCTGTAGTCACAAGGGCTTCAGCCAGGGAAGGAAAAAATCCAGGGATTTCAACCCCTTCCCGCATACCGATCCTAAAGACTCGTGTAGCTTTAGTCTGCCCTGATACAACGCCTGCATTGCCACAGTCTAGTACTGAAACGGCACAGGCAATACCAGAAGGACAGAATTCTACACCTGCATCAACTGTAGGCCAGTGTGTGAAACACATCAAGCCTAAAAGGAAACGTTCAAGACGTCATAAGACCTCGAAGGCGTCATCAAGGAAAGGGGATGAATGCCAGGCGTGCAACATCACAGTTTCTAAAACTGATTCAGCGTTTGAATGTAATTTTTGCAAACGATGGGTGCACTGCCGTTGTGACAAAGAAGTACCGAAAGCATACTATGAGTTTATGAGAAATAACCCATGCCCATGGTTTTGGTACGTGTGTCCACTTTGTCGCCCTGGCATAGTCCCACAAAGCGTGTCTGCGGATAGCAGAAATAACATGCTCTTGTGCCCCAACACAGTATCATGCAGCTCCCCCCTGCTAAACTCGCACTGCCGAAACTGGTCAAAGACTTAAAGAAGGACACACCAGCCCTACTGACTGGAAATGCCAATTCTCACAAGGTGAAGATTAGCAAGGTTCCATCCACAACAGGGGAGGGCAAAATTACAAAGGCACCACTTGCATCCACTAGCAAGCCTGGCAACACAAAAAAGGCTGTCCAGGTACCGACGAAGCCTAATGTTGCTAATGATGCAAAGGACTGCAAGAAGCCGAAGGCAAAACCTAAGTCTGAGGGTAGTCGGTCTAACTCTCTCATCCTCTTTAACGTACCTGTGAGCACGGATAGCTTGCTCGAACAACGGGCCCTGTTTGATCAGGAACAGTGGTCCAACCTGTGTGGCAAACTAGGTCTGAACATTAGTTCAGCAAAACTGTGCAGACTGTACAGGGGTGTCCACACGCCTCAGGGTAAGCCACCCCCATTACGGGTTACACTGGACTCTGCCGAAGAGGCCGAAAAAGTACTGTTAATGGCTCAGGTACTAGCCCTGGACAGAAGTTCTAACATAAGAGCGCGGCAAGATAGACCATGGGCCGTCAGAAATATGGCGAGGGAGTCACCGGAACTGATGCCTTCCACCTCTATGGTGGTACACGGTGTTCCGGAGCTGGAAACCGGCACTGCTTGTGAAAAACACATGCACGACGTACAACAATGGAGATGGCTGTCATCTCAGATGGCCCCTGGCGCTTCTGGAGCCATCTCCATTTTCCGACTACCTCGTCCCGCTCATCTAACATTGATTAACTCTCCAAAGCTGCTGTGTGTCACATTCAACTCCCCGGAGCAGTTGTCCATATCACTTCAACGGTGGTATGAGACCAAGGGAAAAATTGGAGGACACATCCGATGCTGTGAAAGCAGACCCAGAAATATAAGGAGGCAGCAAACTGAGGCTTTAATACGACCCCAAGCTTCGGTGACACTAGAGCGATGCAGCTCTGAGAATAATAGTCTGTGTCTCCCAAGTGTCCTGCCTAAATCCATTGAAAAAAACTACAACGGGCCGGTTCTATCGGAATCGGCCAACTAGTTCCAACATCAAGTCCCCCACCAGCAGACGGTTTCACGTCAACTACCCCACAACACTCTGAGGTTGTTAGACTCACTGTCAGTTGCCTATATAGCAATGTGAGGGGGCTGAGAGGGAAAGTAGGTGAACTTCGAAATCTCCAAGCACACCTTCAACTGAAAATAATCATTCTTACTGAAACGTGGCTAAACCCCACTATCGCCGACAATGAAATCAGTATAGGTGATATGGTACTGGTCAGGAGAGACAGGGATAATAAGGAAGGAGGGGGAGTTGCTATATACTTTGATAGGCAACTTAAATGTGTGCGCGCAACGGACCCACCACTTATCGAACTCCCAGACTCCATATGGTGTCATTTCACCGTAGGCCACACCAAGCACTTACTGGGTGGCATCTACCGATCTCCCACCTGTGGGGCAGAGCACAATCAGCTACTGCTCAGCACTATCACAGGAATACGAGATTTGGGCTACGACCAAATCACCATAGCTGGAGATTTCAATGCTCCATCACTGAACCTTGGCTCCGGGTGTGCTAAGGGAAAATTTGGCCGAAACCTACTGCAAACTATTCGAAACACGGGACTGACTGAGAATGTTGGAGACGACACTAGGTGGGGCCCTAGTGGAAAGTCATCAAAACTAGATTATATTCTAACTAGTGACCAGCTACTCGTCGAAAAGGTCCAGATCATGACTCCTCTGGGAAGCAGTGACCATGCAGTCATAGGTTTCGATCTTGTCCTCCGTGAGCGTTTGCAATGGGATGTTACGCGACCATGTCTGTGCTACAGCAAGGCTGACTATGCTGAAATGCGGAGGCTCTTGTCCGACGCAGACTGGCCCTTAGCATGGGACGACCTATCTGTGGATGAACACTGGGAAGTGGTAAAAAAGATTATCCATGCAGCAATCTCGGATACCGTCCCTTTAGTCACAACACAGCCTAAGAGAAAGACGTCATGGTTGAAGAGAGGCACGCAACGTATTCTGCAAGCAAAGCGGAGGGCTTGGTTTACGTGGCGTGTATCTAAGAGTCAGACCGACCATGATGCATACCTCGAACTCAGGAACCGGTGTAATGCAAGAGTTAGGAGGGACAGAAGGTCATTCCAGGCTAACCTTGCTAAAAAACTCCTATCAAACCCTAAAAACTTGTACCGATTCATGTCGGAAAGAAAACCGACAAACCAAGGGGCATGCGCCTTAGTAGGCCCAAACGGTCAATATCTCACTAGTCTGGAGATGGCTGAAACATTCAGTTCAGCCTTCGCTAAACAGCTAAACAGCAATGTGGATATTACAGTTACGGACCAAAATGGTGGCACCACTATTTCAGAGGAGGAAGACCTAGCGACTACTCCCCAAATAAACCCCGCAATAGTACTAAGGAAGCTACAGCGACTCATACCTGGGAAGTCCCCAGGTTGTGATGACATCAGGCCATCTGTTCTGAAACAGTGCGCCGAGGCTCTCTGTAGACCCCTGTGCGACTTGTTCCAACACTCAATGGATTCGGGGACCCTGCCAAGGGAGTGGAAAAGAGCCATCCTTTCTCCAATCTTCAAGGGTGGGGACAGGCAAAACGCTGCTAGCTATAGACCAGTAGCTCTACTCCCAGTGGTATCAAAAGTACTGGAAAGTATTATTGACGACCACATCAGGGAATATTTCGATAGGACTAATATACTGCATGAAGCCCAACATGGTTTCAGAAAAGGCAGATCCTGCGTCACTAACCTACTGTCAGCTTGGGACGACTGGACATCATGCTGGGACTTGAACGTACCAGTCCATGTGGTCTTCCTAGACTTTGAGAAGGCATTTGACACTGTTCACCATGACCTTCTCCTACATAAAATAAGACAGGCAGGCATAGGTGAGCCACTTCTGTCATGGTTGAAGGACTACCTAGCCGACAGGCAATTTTGCACTAAGGTTAACCGAGTCCGATCATCTTGGCACAGATCGTCATCAGGAGTGTCGCAGGGTTCTATCCTAGGACCACTGATGTTTTTGATTTTCATCAATGATCTACCACGCCGTCTGAGCTGCCCGACTCTCCTGTACGCTGACGACGTAAAAATATGGAGGGCGATAAAGTGTCCGGAGGACTCAGATAGGCTACAGGAAGACCTAAACCTTCTGGAAGACTGGGCGGTGGCCAGTGGCATGACTTTCAACTTGAAAAAGTGCAAAGTAGTGAAGTTGCGCACCTGTAGACTGCAGAATGCAAGTTACACCCTGTGCAATGAAAGCTTGTCCTGCACAACGTCGGAACGCGACTTAGGTCTAGTTCTAACGGAAAAAATGGACACAAGCGTAAATTACACAGGGGATGTAGCGAGGGCATATGCGGTCATACACTTTACGCATAGACAGTTAGGTGCACTCACTCCTGAGCTCTTTCTAATGTTGTACAAAACATACGTCAGGCCACACCTTGAGGTGCATAATATTATTGCACCCCCAATGCTGAGAAGAGATGCCAACCTCTTGGAAAGAGTCCAACGACGGGCAACAAAAGGAGTGGTTGGTCTCCGAAACAAACCATATGATGAAAGGCTGAAGAAATTAGGCCTGTTCACACTTAGTTACCGTCGGCTTAGGGGGGATTTGATTACTGCCTACAAAATAACAAATGACCAGAATCACCCAAACAAAGGTGTTCTGCCATTGAGTAGGTATAGGCTTCCACGTGGAAATCCCAGAAGGATAGCTCACCAGAGGGCAAGGACCCGGGTGCGCTCCCACTTCTTTTCACTGCGGGTTTGTCGTCCCTGGAATTCCTTACCGGCAGATGTAGCTATGGCACCGTCTTTGGACGCCTTTAAGCGAAGGCTGGACAACCATGCAGCGATACAAGGACTGCATCCAAATGGCCTATCTCCTTAAAATCGCATTTACCAATCAGGGTAGATAATTAAACTCGTCATTTTACTTCTTTACATTCTCTCCCGTCTTACTCTCCTGACAACTTATTAATATTATAATTACTATTATTATTATTACTATTACCGATATATATATTATTCTTCAAACTTCATGAGCTGACTGTTGTTACGTTTCCTATTTTCGTTTCTGTCTCTTAGTCTGAATAGCTTCACTAATTATATCTATTATTATTATTATTACTATCTCTTTTCTCTTGTCGACAATACCGAAGGACTAACTGGCGAAAGGATCAACTCCAATCACAGTAGTAACAGTCTTAACATACCTCATACTACAAACCACATATAATTAATCCCAGCACTACTCCCTTTGGAGTCAACCAAAGCTACGACAGTCGAGTGGCGGGACAAGCTACGCAGAAGTTTACCGAAGATCAAGAACCTATACCTCACAATCAAGAGGCGAGCACAAAGAAATCAAATTGGTTTATACTAGATCGTAAAACCGATATTGGATATCGGTATTTGTAGGCATACGATAACCAACCAATATTGAGGTAAGTACAACGTTTGCAGGGATTGAAAGCTGTTTTAGAAAAATTAAAGTGCTAAGGTGAATCATGAAATTTTAATGAAATAGGTAGGTGCAAGTATCATTAATGAATGCATTTATAAAGGAAACTCCCTTGGCTGACAACGTTCATTTGCAATGTATAATGCTACTCATATAGTTCGTACTATCATGATGTCCAGTTTTGGTTCTAATACATTTGTCCTCATGCCGGTTTTTTATTTTATACCTTTTTGTGCATTTAGTGCACAACCGTACCCTCCAGAGAATAGGAATAGAATAAGTCGAATCAAATTCACAGAGCTATAAAATGTTAGGTTTAATGGAGTATAATGAGGAGCAAGTGAAGACGTTATTAGAAAATGAATGCGATAAGACATTGTGAAGTGGTATTTAAAGATCTGACGATGGATAGCAAGTTAATTTATAAGATGCCTCATAAATCTGTGCAGATCCCACGTGGTCGCATCTCAACAATAGGCTGAGCGAATGGTATATATTTAAAGGTAGAAGCATTATCTGTCAAGGCGTTCACTGTTATCCTTTTCAAGATAGAGATCTAAGCCCTCATAAAAATCAGAAATATCTCGAGCCTTCATTTTGCGTATTGCTGTTCCTGCAGAATGGGGCGATTCACCTTAGTGAACACCACCATATCTACTGATCAGCTAGCACCACCCTCCCTCCTTTTTTGATGTTAGGCTCTGAGACTATGGTTATTATGGTTACCGGAAATATATTGCTTGGTACCAGACATGTTCGTACCCCATATTCCATCTCCCTAGCTTTCTTAATGAGAGCTTCCAATAGTCTCAACGTACATCTTTACGAACATATTATATATGTGTGCATGCATTCTGATGAACAGATTACTTTATAAGAAGTTAAAACCTTAAAGAGTAAAAAGAATAGGTTTTGTGGATAGTGGAGCAAGATTCAGCAGAACACTTTACTCAAGGTTTAATGTAGGTAGTATGAACTGAAGGTAAGGTCGGTTGGCAGGACTTAGTGTACTAAATATTCATGACAGTCTTATGTATAGTAAACATCTGACATTGCAAAGTAACGTGTCTAGAGATATTATAAAAAGATATTAACACAGAACCAACAAAATTTTGGCATTTTTAAACAATCCTGCAGTGTGTGTATACTGAAGAATGGTATTTAGTCTACAGGGAGCCGTAGAGTAAATCAAACTATATATGATAAGAGTATAATTAATATTATAATTCGTATTATCGAAGAATACACTAGGCTCAATAATTGAGTGTTATAAGGGAAACAAGCGTGGTAAAGCAAGAGAGCATTTGCTGCATAAATATTTTAATCATTTAAGTAGTGGAACAATTAGTGACAATGTTATGTGAAGTGGTCCTGAGAAAAGCAACTGGTCAGCAGTACTTGTTATGCTAAATTTTGGCGACCGATTTTATATGGTGTGCGTTACACATTGCAAAGTGACTCATCAACTATACAATCGGAAAAATACCACATAGCTTTAACATTATGAATTTTAGAAAATTATATGAGAATGGGTAACTGTTGACTGAAAATAGTCAATTCAACTCAAAAATAGTGCAGTGTATTATGCTAATAATATAAGTATGTTTGTAAAATATTAAAAGATTGGTTGCTAATGTAATGGTTTTCGGAAATAATTATACTGACGAACTTAATGAAGATTACAGTGAAGAGAAAACCAGTAAGTTAGTTAAACGGCCACTGTGCAGTTAGTAGTTAAAACGTCTTTTTTAAAACTAAAAGGTTGAAGAGTTTTGAGTACCGCAGCAAATTAAGTGATATTCTACTTAGTAGAGTGAAGGGAATGGTGGTACGTTTAGGGATAAGGGTAGGTTGAATGAACTTGGGGAAAATGGTTGGTTGGCTGAGTTTGTTATTGCTAGGTTTTCCTGGCCACGTTTCATATCGCATGCTTTAGACATTACATAGTACCAGTTTGCTTATATTATGGAAGAACTATCACAACTAATTTGGGATTATACGTCCAGGAAAATTATAGATAGTCTTATGAGTTTATAAACCCGATTGAAGAAATATCGATAGGATCTCTAATAAGCTGAATAACCGTACCTTAGGTAAAGGCATGTGGGAAAGATTGGGTTGGTTTTATCACGTTAAATATGCAGTACGGTAGCCGGGGCCAATGAGTTTTCTTCAAATTGGGGGTATCGCACTGAGGTCTGTAGTACTAAAACTAGTTGAGCAGCCCATATGGATAAAGTATGGATAAGTAGACCGAAGCTCTTTTGTTGACAGGAACTCGTTAAGGAGACGCTGGAATTCAGTAGGAGATCGGATCTTCGTACAGTTTATTATTTATTTTTTTTATTTTATTTTTGATTACAGCTTGATTCCACACCGTATTTTTGGGACAAGTGTGGAATTTTCAGCATGGATATCTGTAGCCCAAATTTCGCAGGCCGACCATAGATATCAGGTGTGCGTCGGCGTGGGCTCGAACCCCGGACCATGTGCATGGTCGGCGAGAGTCCTACCCACTGTGCCACCGACGCACACACGTTGCTAACAAGTGTCGAGCAAACACTTCATTGCAAGGCTGCATGCAGAGACTCTTGAGAGTTTCGATAGCTTCTTGGTATGTTTTGCATTCAGAAATGCATTCGTATACAGAAGTAGAAATATGATTGAAGAGAATATGCAGTTTCAAGGGGTTTTAGGATCTCATTGATTCAATGAAGTAGGAAAACGTCGCAAACTAGTGATCCCACTTCTTGGCAGCTCAAACTGCGTTAGGTTCTACGTCAAACCAATCAGGTCGCAAAAATCGTTTCATGAATATTGTAAACTGAATAAATTGTTACGAAGGTGACTGAGTCTTAGAACGATGAGTGATGCTTGAAGCTTGAAAAGACGAATGAATCAAGAATTTAGGCTTTATTCAGTTTTGATAACGTTATTAGAAGACGGAGACTATCTGAAAAATGTGATGTATTAGCGCTATACATTTCGAACAATCTGATCACACATTTACTTGTCAAGTAAATATATATATATATATATATATATATAAAGGTTAAATTAAACAAAGTGACAGAAAACGGAATTAAGAATAGTTAACACAAACGTTTGGTAATAGACTTAAGCCCCCCTTGTGTATTCAAAAACAGTTTGTCATTACTCTTAACCTACCTTGGTAATCCTTATTTGATTGGATTACCAAACGTTTGTGTTAATTATTCTTAATTCCGTTTTCTCTCACTTTGTTTAATTTAACCTTTCTATATATATATATATATATATATATATATATATATATATATATATATATATATATATTGACTTGACAAGTAAATGTGTGATCAGATTGTTCGAAATGTATAGCGCTAATACATCACATTTTTCAGATAGTTTCGGTCTTCTAATAACGTTATGAAAATTTATAAAAGGGACTAATTGTTTTAAATTTATTCAGTTTACAAAGAAGCCGGAATGGCTTAAACGTAAAAAGGAAAAAAAGCGTGTTAATAGCGGTAGAGATAGGAATATGATTAGATACGTATTATAAGAAAAGTTCACAACACCATTCTCTCTTGACGAGGTGCGCAATGTAACCAGTAAATGCGTGGCATGCTGTGAGTTAAATCCTCACTTTTACAATCCCTCTAATTTCAAACAGAGCAACCCGACCTTTTGAAAGGTTAAGCATCCACTTCAAAGGACCTCTACCGTCAGCTAGGCGGAATCACTATCTGCTCACGCTGATCGATGAATATTCTCGATTCCCCTTTGCATTCGCCTGCCCCGACATGTCGTCTCAAACGGTAATGAATTGCCTCTGCCAACTGTTTTCGATTTTCGGTATGCTTTCTTACATACATACCGACAAAGGCGCTGTTTTCATGTCTATCGAATTACGAGCATTTCTTCTGGAGAAAGGCGTAGCAACCAGTCGTACTGCCTCATACAGTCCTCAAGCCAATGGGCAGGTCGAGTGCCTCAATGGAACACTTTGGCGTGCCATCACTCTAGCATTAAGATCACGGGGTCTACCAACGGCATAATGGGAGTGTGTTCTACTCGACGCCTTGCATTCCATCAGATCTTTACTCTGTACTGCAACGAACGCCACGCCACACGAACGACTGTTTACCTTTAACCGAAGATCGACATCTGGGGCAACTCTTCCTGCTTGGCTCACTGTACCAGGACCATTACTTCTCCGGCGGAGTGTTCATCAGTCCGAATTCGATCCCCTGGTTGAAGCGGTGGGGCTATTGAATTGTAACCCGCAATTTGCTCATGTTCGCTTCGGTATTGGACGTGAAGATACAGTTGCTCTTCATCATCTGGCAAGCAAAGGCGCAATTCAAAGGCTTTGTTTACTTTTTCGCCTGTTATTTCTTAATTCTTTTTTTTACTCCATAGGCGTCTGTTTAATAGGTCTCTCGACGATAGTGTTAAATATTTAGTCCTATTCTTTCATTGAATATAACTTTTACGGTTAAAGCTATCCGTTATAGATAGTGTCCACCTAAGTGCTACTGTTTTAGCATCTTCGCATTTAGACTATTTGTATGGGGTATCTTAATAGTCTATTTCGATATTTTTATTCGTACAGACTGTTAATTGCATACAGAACTAGACAGTTTATATCCTCAACACTCTTAAACGGACATTACAGA